TCTCGATGCTTGGGGATCCAACAGCATGCCAACCAAACCTGCAATCATGTCTCTCCATTATATTGAATACTTTTGATTTGTTTGGGTAAGAGAGCTCCAAATGTTAGACCATTGCTGTTCAGTTAGATTTGTTTTCAAATCTTTGTTCCAGGCTTTTATGTTATTAAGGGTCATACTTTTTTCTGTGTCCCAAATGACCTTGTATAAAAGTGAGAGCAAACCTTTAGAGGCCAATGATCCTTTACTCAGTATTGTTTCAAAAGCCATTTTTTGTCTTTTGAAGGAGCCCATTTCTTTTATCCTGTCAATTAGACTCCTAAGTTGGGACCACTTTGTGATGGACAAAGTAGCAGATAAATATGAGTCCCACACACAAGGATATGCAAGGTCCCATTCCAGATTAATTCGAAAATGGTGTCCTCTTATAACATATTTTACAGAAAACGATGTATTACCAGCAAATACTAGTTATGCAGAATGGATTCATCTTTGAGAAATTTTTATTTATTTATTTATTTATTTTTTGAATGGTCTGAGCATTCTCATAAATTAATATTGGGGTCCTTTTAAAATATATCTGGATTTATTATACGTTAGTATTGTAGAAATAGTAGAACAATTGGAATATCACAAGAAAGTGACAAGGATATGGGTATGGGATGATCCTGCTGACAAATTAATAGATGGCATTGTGAGATATGTATCTGCACTTACAGTTTGTATTAATGTTTAAACAGCAATCTTGGCTTGACTTCTCTTTTAATAAAATTAAAAAAGAAGAAGAAGAAGACCCTGACACTGGGAAAGACTGAAGGTCAAAGAAGAAGGGGACGGCAAAGGATAAGATGATCAGATGGTGTCGTCGATGCAATGGACATGAAGTTGATCCAGCTCCAGAGGACAGTGGAGGACAGGAGGGCTTGGCATGATGTGGTTCATGGGGTCGCAAAGAGTCAGAATCGGATGTGCAACTGAACAAAAAGAAGATTTCTATAGATTGGAAGACCTAAGGTTTCTTCGGCTGGGTCTGAATTAATGATCCAGCCTTGTTTATTGCAGATATTAGTGCCCCCACTATTCACGAGAATGGGGAGTGAAGCAGCAAGAGGCCTGCTGTGACAAGCCTCCAAGGGCAGCTGATCCAGAGAGCCTTCAAATCAGCAGCGGAGTCTTCGCGTGGAGGGCATGCGCCGTTCCAGTCCCTGCCAGGAGCAGACCGTCCGAGGGGCTCTGAACCTCAGCGCTCCTTCTCTTATGTCCTCCCCGCAGCATCTGAAATATCCCGTAAAGAACCACAACACCCATTTTTAAAATATTTTCTTTATTAAAAAAAAAAAGAGTTACGTCCTCTTGTTAACGGTACAGAGTTATCTAACTGGCAAAACCATTCAGGAACAAAACATCTACAGCTAACTGGCACGCGCGCCCCCCCGCCCCCCGAGAGTGCCTAGGCTGGTGGCCTGAACTGCGAAAGGACCGCCACCTGACATCCTAGCAAAGTTAACTCTCGGTTCTACAACATCAAATCAAATCAAAGGGGGGAGGGGGGGTCTGCAGGGCCCAACAGGCCCCCGCCAACACAGAAAGCAACTCAGCCATTTCACGGAGCGGCCAACCTGCAGGCAACCAAAGCCTACAGGCAGGCTCCCCGGGGAGAAGGTGGGCCCGGCCTACAGCTCTTTACACGAGGGAAGACTTCCGCCCAAGGCTAAGCCATCACCGTCCCTTGAGGAATCCGAAAGTCTGGGATAACAACAGCCCAGCAGTCACCCTCTGGCCCAACAGTCTGACGCCAACAGCACCAGGCAACAGAGGCAGGGCTTGGAGAAGGGAGGGCACAAGCGGCTCCAGCAGCAGCAGCAGCAGCAGCAGCCATGGAAGAGCACACAGCCGAGACCACCTTCTCCCGCTCCCCCCGGGTGAGAGCAGGAGGGCCGGGATATGAAGTGTGAGTGACATGCACAGTCGAGGGCATCGGGAATGGCGGCAGGAGACAGCCTGCTCTGGCCTCAGTAATGCCGCTGGTAGGAGCCCATGGGCTGCTGGGCAGGAGGCACTGCCCGCAACTGGCCCACCGTCTGGTTCACCAGGTGGGAGAGGGCTGGGCCACTCTGGATCAGAGTGTCCAGGGCCTTCTGCACGCTGGGGTTGTCGAAGTTGATCCCAGAAGAAGGGGCCGCCCGTGGAGCCGCAGCATTGCTTGGTGCAGGCGGCCGGTTCTGGTACAGCGGCTGGGATGGCTGTGGAGGCGCAGCTCTCGGGCCAACATTCCTGGCGGGGCCCTGGTGGCTCGCGAACTGGGGGCCCTGGCCCTGGGCCCGCTGCTGCTGCTGGGACTGGCCTAAACCGGTGGAGCTGAGCTGCACGGCCCGGCTCTGCGTGGCGGAGCCAGAGGGAAAGCTCTGACCCTGAGAGCCTCCCACAGAGGGACTGTTGTTGGCGGCGGCCGCCACCGCCCCACTGTTAAACAGACTGAGGATCTTGGCCTGTAGCTCCTGCTGGGGATTAGAAGAGGCTGTGGCCGAGGCAGGCTGTGCCAGCGCCTGGCTGCTCTGGGTGCTCGGCAGGTTGGTGGAGGTGGCCAACGAGGACCCGGAAGATGCCCCAAGGGCTTGTCGGGAAAGTGAAGCTGCAGAAAGAGGAGAAAGGGAGACAGTTAGGGTCCTCTGGGTGCACCTGCACACTGAGGAAGGTGTCCCTGCATCCCTAGGCCCCGTATCTACAGATGCAGCGTCCATTGGGCAGGAGAGGGACACACGAAGAAGGGCACAAACCAACTGACCCACACGGGGGACACACACACACGGCATAAAAGCAAACTCAGCCGTCCCTGGGCTGACAGCAGCTGAGAAACTCACCCGGAAGAGAGTCCCCACTGGCTCGCAGCTGCCGCTCCTTGCGCTCCCGCAGGTAGTTGATGATCTTGTCGGTCTCTTCTGCAGTCAAGTAACGGTTATCCGCCAGCAAGTTCAGGAGACTCTGGATGCCCGGTGGGTGGCCCCCTCGGGCCCCCTCCTCTCCAGCTGAGGGGCGCTCTCGCTCCTGCAGAATAGTCTCGTCGGCCATCTTGGCAGCTTGCCGCGCAATCTCTTCGCGCTCCTTCTCCCGGATCTCTGTCTTGTAGCGCTCATAGTTCCTGGCCACCAGGACCATCGCGTCTGCCTGTGGCATGTTTCGGTGTTCTGCGGCGCAAGCAAGGAAAGCTACAGCATCAGCGCAGGGTGCAGGCAGCCCCACCGATGGGCTGTCCCAGGACACCACCACCCCCCGGACCCCAAGCGGTGGCAAAGGCCAGGATAGGCACGGGGCTCCAGGACCTGCGCCTAGCTAAAGGGGAGGGCTCCAGGTGCCTGAGCAGTGTGGCCGTGCCGTGCTGCACAGCACACTCCTTCCGGACAGGCAGACAGAAGCCAGCCGGTCATGGATCACCTCAGCCTGAAAACCACCTCTAGGGCCAAATCTCCCCCTGCAGACCACCGTCCTTGACACTACCAAAGGAAGGGCCTTTCTGTCAGTCATGCTGCCCAGAAAAGTCTCACAAACATGAAGTCTGCCATTAAAAGCCCTAAAACCCCTTCCCAGGAAATCCAAGTCAATTTCACAAAGAGGAGCAGCAGCTGTGTTTGTCTGTTGCAGTAAAGTGTGGCAGGAGCCCCGTGGCACCTCGAAAGCTCACAAAACCTATCCCGATATAAACTTCTGCAAGGCTGCACTTCCACATCTCACAAAGTGAGCATTAACTCACAAAATTTTATCCTGAGAGAATTTCTGTTAGGTTTTAAGGTGTCCCAGGCTCCTGTTGAATTGATTTAAAATAAACAACACCATTTGTGTCTAAACCTCAAGGCTGAAACGCCGCGTGTACATCTGTGACGAGCTCTGAGGAAGGAAGCCGACTCTTGTTAGCTTCTTGCCCCTGGTTTAATGAAGGGGTGAAGAGCGCCATGAGGAGGAGGCCCCTGCAGGTGTGCCACATCCTCCTAAGCGCACGTTTTCGAGTCTTCTAAGCCCACAAAAGCAACAAGCAGCTCCTCCGTCTCCAAAGGAGCCCGGCAGGCACCACACCCCAACGCACCCCGCGGGGCAGAACACGCCCTGGAGAGGGAACTGCTGCTGCCCTGTCTGCTCAGCATGTCGCCTGCTCACACGCGGCTCAGACCATCATACCTTGGGGTGTGCCAAACATGATGTTGACCGTGCAGGAGTGGTGGACTTGGTGCTGCTGGGTGATCACAATGGCAAAAGGAGACCCCCCTCGGCTCACGTCGTCCAGAGCCTGCTGCAAAGACATCTCTGAGTTGAGGAAAATCAGGTCCACCATCATGCCAAGGTCGCGTACCTTCCGCCCAACTGACTCCGCGTAGTCCCTGGGCAAAAGAGCAGCCACCCTGCATGAGACCGGAGCCAACCTTGCGGACAGCAAACTGCTGTTCGAGCAGCAGCGGCAGCAACCCAAGGCATGGCCTCCCTCCATGAAGCCACCAGACAGACCGCAGCAGAAAGCCCAAGGCCCCCTTTCTCAAAAAGAGCCGTGCCCCGACACTGCCCACTCACCCCCAAGGACCACGAAAGCCGCGCCAGGCAGAGGGAAGAAGGCAGACAACTGAGCCTGCCTCTCAAAACACCGTCTGCTCACCCAGTCTACCCAGTTCTTACTTGGTCTGCTTGTTGACCACAATCACAGAACAGTCCACAGGTCGCTCCGTATCAATGCGCCGCTTGATGTCCTCAAAGAACTGGCGATACAGCTCCTCCCGGCGCCGCTCCTCCCGCTTCATGCGCTCTGAGGGGGGAAGCCACCAGAAAATGTCTGGTCTGCCTCCCTCCCTTCCCTTCCCTCCCTGGACACCCCCCCCCCCGCACCACCATCCTGAGACCAGGAGTCCGTCCAGCACTGACCTTCAGCACTCAGGGGGGGTCTGTCCAAGTGATCACGGTAACGGTCGTAGTAGGTGTCGTCCCTCCGTCTGTAATAGTCATCACTGCGGGCGTAGCCCTCCTCTCGCCTGCAGGGCAGGGAACAGCCTCGTGTCTGGACTGCAGCACCCAAGCGCTGCCGTTACCATGCACTCCTCCCTCCATGCACTTCGGCTGGAATGCCGCAATCCTGCCCCCACCCTTCCCAGTGTTAAGCAGTACCTGTAGGGGGGCTCCCGGCCATCCCTGTAACGATCATACAATGGGTCCCGGGGATCCCTCACGTCCCTGGGGTCTCTAAGATCTCGAGGATCTCGGAAGTCTCGGGGATCTCTGTGGTCTCTGGCATCACGCACATCTCGACCCCGAGGGTCCCGTGCATCCCTGGAATCTCTGCCATTCCTGCCATCTCGAGGTTCCCTCCGTGGACTGCCCCGTACAGGAGAGCGATCACGCCTTGCTTCTCTCTCTCCGTATCCATAGTTCTCTCTAAAACAATCATCAACAAAACCCTTTTAGATAGGTAAGAGCTGTCAGTGGGGTCATTCTCAGTCGATGGCCACGGCCTCACTCCTGTCTCCCAGAGAAAAAAACCAGGAACACCCGAAAGGAACATGTGCGCACTCGTGTTCCAGGAAGCAGAGTTGTTTCGGTTGCATTCTAGGTGGCAAGCCTGAGTCTAGGATTGGAGCCCTTCAGGGGCTGGGGGCCGAGACTTCCATGGCTAAATGCTCCAACGCGGCAGAAACACTCCCCCCCCTACAGACAAAGCTGCCCCTCCAGGGAGGAACCCAGAAATGCTGCTGGAAGAGAACTCGAGTCACGTTGTTCCAGGTGACGTTTCGCTCCCACTAAAGGAGCAGGCTCACCGCTCGGAGGCGTCCACGGACCCACTTCTGCAGACAGAGGCCCACGTGTCTTCTGTGGCCTGTGGTGGCTGACACATTCTGGCGGGTGTGCCAGCTGCACCTCCGCTGGAGAAGCGAGAACTAGGCACACAACGGTCCAGGCTCTAATCACGTCCAGGTTAAAGTTCTGTGTGGCGTTCTCCACGGGACGTGCCTTTGAAGACTGCCTGGACCCTTTCACTGACACAGCATGCTGGCTGGGGCAAGAGAACCAGCTGGCGAGAACTATCGAGAGGGGGCCACCTCTACGGGGAAAGAACTTTGCTGGCTGCCATTCAAGTGAACTGCCCCTGGGGCCAGAGTGCCCAAAGGACCACCTGCTCCCATACCACTCTGCCCAGCAGACTGCTCGAGTGGGAAGTGGGCAGCTGCCAGAGACCAGGCTTCTTCTCCGGTGGCCCCTCCACGAGGAAACCCCTCCCCTTCGTCTCGGCAGGCACCTCAAGGCGTTTCCCAGGCTGCTAGCCAGGGGTAATTCCTTGACCCTTACCCGAAACCAGTTGGGTCTTGATTTAACCTCACTGCTCCATTACGGACGGTTCTCTGCTCTTACCTTGGCAGGGTGTTCTACTTCATTTTAACGCTTTGTAAGCAGCCTAGGGAGCCCCTGGTTAGAAATGTGTGGCACACATGAAAGACCAGCGGATTCTTGGAGGGAGGAGTGTTGAGACACGTCAGCCTCTGCGCCCACCCCACCCCCACCCCCGGTCTGAAGAGGAGTCTGAGAGGAGTCTGACCGTGCAGGAAGTGCTGGGATGCCCTGCAAGGGCTGCAACTTGGGGGACCCATGTGCTATGTGGTCATTTCTGTGCAATGGTACCCCCCCACACCAAAGGGCTTTAAACGGCATGCCAGTGCGAAGTGAGTGTGTGTGCGCGTAACGGGCTTTGCCGTGTTCACCACCAAGCTGGTCTGCGGACTCTTTGGGGGAACCAGCTCAACTCGCCACCCTCACGGCTGTGCCTCTATCCCAGACAGGTACCCAAGATGAGCCCCGAGCTCCAAAGGAAATGTGCCGCCACAGGAAGTGGTCTGTGGGCACTCGGGATGCTGTGCCACTTGTGTGCTATTCCCACGACCCACAAGACGGCATCTTCTAGAACAAGTCTCACGAATGGGAAGTCGTGGCTCTCAGGGAGACGTACAGAACCCTTCCTTCCACAACGCCTAGAAAAGCAGAGAGGAGCAGAACAATGGCAGCGTACCCATCGGATTGCCCCCCGCCCGCCCCCCGGCTGCAGAAGAACACGTGCCGGGCCGGCACCCTTCCGCCACAGCCTCTGCCCCCTCAGGGAGGAGGGAGTGCCCTGTCCAGCCTGGCTCGGCTGGGTGTCCACGAGCAAAGAGATGCTGAGCAACAACCAATAAGAGGTCTCCCAGCTCCTGGCAGGCACACGCGCCCTGAGCCCGGCAGGCGCTGGGTGGGGATCTTTCCTAGCCCTTCTTCTCCCCAGGCTTGGTGGGGGTCACATCCGTGTGCAGAATTCACACAAAGGGAGGCTGAGAGCCACCAAAGCAGAAAGGGCACTCAACATATTGCCTGAAGAACAGTCAGAAACCGGGGGGGGGGGGGGAAAAAATGTATCTCATCACATGGGCTACAATTGATGAACAGAGACTGTACAAATGCCCGCAGCTGCATTCAACAGAAAAGGCAAACACCCCGGCAGACTGCAGTGCAAGAACTCAGACAGGGTGCCACCACACACCTGTCTCTACTGCCTCCTTCCCACTGGTACTCTGGCCACAGACCCCCCCCCCCAGCAATGCAGCGCCCTGACACCCGCTTGCGCTCTGGCCACAGCACTGGGGCAATGCAATGCTCTGGTAACGGCTTGCGCTATGTCCGTGGGCATCAAGAATGATGCTTTGGCAGCAGCCTGCGCATAGACCACTGGCCCCTCTGGCAACGGCCAGGCTCCTGTCTCAGCAGGAGTGGAGGACCCGGTACAGGGCTTGCGTGCAGCTCTGCACTAGCGCCAGCAGAAGAACCCCTGTGTGATGGGTCCACACAGTGACGCCGCGCCAGCAAGGGACAGGAAAATCCTCTTGCGCATGAGATGCCACGGCCCTGGGCTCAGGGCAATGCGGCTTGATGGAAAGGGCTCGCCTGTCCCAGGGAAAGTGCTTCCCTGCAGTCTCTGCCGCCCTTGGAAGCAACAACCATTGCCTCTCTCTCTCCCTCTCTCTCCTCTTTGGTTCGGCCCGAATGACGCTCTCGACTCTGTGGCTTCCCCCAGGGATGCTCCAGAGTCACACAGGCAGCAGCTCTCACCTTCCCCAAACGGTGGAGAGCTCTGAAGGAGCTCTGAGGCAAACGCGGCTTGCCTTCTGCTGCTTGGGGAGAGACTGCAACCTGCAGGGAACGAGGAATCCCGCTGGGATCCATTCCCGAGGAGAAGATCCAACATGAGCAGAGAGGAAGGTGTGTTCCTGCCCTAAAGCCCAAACTTCCTAGGGAAACTTGTTGCTTCACAGTACTTTACCTTCGTGCTGGGCTGGACCTTGTGGGAGGCTTATTCATATTTCTTCTTTCCGCTGCTTTATTAATATCTGAAAAGAATAATCAACCCGTCTGTTCAATGCTATGGAACAAAGAAAAGATCATCAGCATAATGAAAAGAAAGCATCAAAGTACAAACACCACCAGACAGAGCAAGGAAAGGCACTCAACCAGGCACTTGGACAACCTTTATTACATCCACAACAACAATAGTACAGCGCAGTGGTTTGCCGAAGAATTCCTCCCACGCCCAGCTCCAGGAAGTAGTCCGCTGTTTGCTATGCCTGCCCCGGATGCACAGGCTCTCCTCATGGCACCGGCCCTGTTCTCCAAAGGAGGCAGGCTGGCATGGGTTGGGCTCCCAAGGCCACATATCCGCTTGGCATTGAACTTCCAAAGGAAGGGACACAGAGGCTACGCCATGAAGTCAAAGCACCTTCGGACCACGACGGGGGAGAACCACCTTGAAACCGTCTGCCCACAAAAAGCAGCCCGCACAAATGATCGGCTCAGAACCTCTCCTCTACAGCACAGCTGTGCATGTCCCCAGTTATGGAAATGTGAGTCCAGCTATCATGCAGTAGAGTAAAAGCTGCATCAATTTGCCTACAAATAAAATGTGAAGGGGAAAAAAACACTTTCTGTTCTGCATTGTTTGCAACCATCGCCACTGGCACTCTCTTAGAAGAGGCATCCCCCCCCCCGTAGTAAGAGAGGAGGAGGAAGGCCTCTTCAGAGAGGGACACTCACCCCCTATGGCTCTTCTCCTGTCAAAAGCAACTCCCCCCCCTCCCAAAATGTGCTGCTTGATTGACTGGAGGACCCATTTTAAGCAAAGGCTCTCCTTAGTTATTGACATTCTCTAGCCAGCTGTAGAGCACCTATTAAAGATCGGTTTAAGAGCTCTTCCTCCACATGGTCTGCTCTCTCATGACTTGATTTTGGGTCCTCATTCGGACTCACAAGACAGACTTTGTTCAACAGCAGGTGAAAAAGCGGGGGGGGGGGGAGCAGAGAGCTCCGGCCTATCCTCCCCGTCCTGCCGCCACCCCACAGGACTGTCTGGCTGCTGGCAGCACCTTTGTTCTAATGTAAAACTACCGGCCACTATCTAATTTTAGAGGGCTGGTGAGGACTCAGGGAAATGAGCCAGTGCAGGCAGATGCCTACACAAGACAATGACCTGACACCACCACTTTTTCCCCTTTGAAAGAAGGAACAATTCGATTTGGAAGGAATGCTATTCAATTTGTTCAAGCGGCACTCAAAAGTGTCTGCTTAGAAACTATACATTGCTTTTCTGTTAAAAGATGAAAAACACATGACAGTCCAGTGGGTTAACACAGGAACATATAAACAGGAATCTGCACTATTAATATCATTGCAATAATAAAAGGAGCTTGTTCAGACGGAACCTTGGGCGAGACAATTAGATCCTTCTTCACATGTGCCTGTTATTTTTCTATTGCAACTACCTCCAATATGGGAAACTAACAGGCATAATTACTGCCCATGTCGAGACAGAGAAATCTTTGCACATACCAGTAAGCCTTAATTAATTGTGAGCATATGTGAAAAACATCAGGAGGCAATCCAAATGTGGGAATGTTGTTCCTGGATGACTGGGGACCCCCAGAAGCAGCCTGAGAGGGGAGATGGAGGACTGCCACAGAAGGAAGAAAAGTTGCACGCGCACACACACACACACCCCTTGCACATGGGTCTTTTGTGGAGGAATCCAGGCAAGTGATAACTTTTTTCAAAACCCTTAACCAGCCAACACTGGTCTACAACGGAGTCGAGTGTGGCATCACCATTTTCTGCTTCATGCTTCTAATATTTTAGGTTTGGTGGATTTTATTTAAATCAGCCCAGAAAGGGAACCAGATGTTCCGCAAGGGAATCTCAATATAGGCAACTGGGGATGTTTTATTCGTGACCCAGCTGACCTTGGAAAATTTGTACCCCACCTGAGTTCAGGAGGGCCACAAGCGGAAACTGGCTTACGTGTGCAAGTCACCTGCCAGGTCAGGGACTGCACACATACATCCGATCTTAGTGCCAACACGATCTCCTGGTACCTCATTATTTCAACACGCTACACACACAAACACACACACTCCTGTGTAACCCATCACACACAAACGTCTTGCAAAACGGCAACTGATGTTGGGACACTAAAGTCCCACCAATTTCACTGGGAAAGATTTAATTGCCCACCTGGCCAGTTTGGTGTCGTGGTTAAGTGCACGGACTCTAATCTGGGAGAACCGGGTTTGATTCCCCACTCCTCCTCCACTGGCACCTGGCTGGATGACCTTGGGCAAGCTGTAGTTCTGATAAGAGCAGTCCTTGAAAAAGAGCAGTCTCTGTGAAGAGCTCTCTCAGCCCCACCCGCCTCACTGGATATCTGTTGTGGGGAGGGGAAGGGAAGGGAAATGAGTTTGTAAGCCACTCTGAGACACCTTTGGGTAGTGAAGGGCAGGGTATAAATCCAATCTCTTCTTCTTCTTTGCCAAGAGTGACAGTATTCAGAAGAGCCACCACCCACCCCATCACAAATTCGCCTGCCCTCCTCTGACTTCTTTAATATGACACATAACTCACTCCCTGCTTTTCTCTAAGTGAATAAAAGCGATCCATTATTATTCCCACAGTACAGCAGCTAACACTGACAAAGCACCTAGAAGGTCCAGACATAGACAGTTGGAGCTGTGGTGGTCCAACACAAGTTTCCTTTGACAGCCAACGGCCCACTGCCTGAAAGCCTACAGCTGGAGGTGGCCACCCCTTGCAGGACAGGGGGGGTTTCTGGACAGCAAAGCCAGGGCTCCTACAGCACAAGGAACGTGTTTCTCTGGCACAGAATACGTAGCCCTGGGCACTTCATCCTGCGCTTGGAGCAGGGAGGGAAACATAAGAGGAAGCAGCCCAGCTTCTGGCCCTTACTGGCACAGTCACACAGGAGACGGCATGCACAGAACTTACATGTGTCTTGGCCAACACCTGATCCCCACTCTGCTCCAGCACAGCTCTCCCACCAACTCCCCCCAGCAGTTTTGTTGTCCCAGCTACACGACTCCAATTTCTAGGGAGGACATCATAATACAGGCACTGGATTTGTGGTAGAACAGGCACCACTGCAGAGATTCATTCTGAGCTTGACAAGCCCTGGCCTTTCCTGCAGAAATCCCACCCACCCCTTAACAGAAGAAACTATAAGCAAGCTGAATTTAACAGAGCAATGCTTATATACCTAAGTCTCTAGCCCAGTGATACTCACTCAGAGACACAGGGGCCGTAGGTGGCCCTTTAATATGCCATCTATGCCTCTCCTGCACTGTAACTGCCCTTGAACCAAGTTCCGGTCTATGGCAAATGCTAGCATTTAATCCAAACCCTATGCTTTAACAGAGCTAAAACTGGGGCTTACCACGCCTCCCCCTCCCCTCCACCTATGTAAGCTCAACATCCCCACACCATGAGATCCTGTATTTTTTCAGAGCGTCTTCCAGTTCTTTGCCCATGAAATATTTTGAATCCTCAAACTGTTCACACCTCTTTGCGGCTCATTATGTCAGTCAAACCATTTGTGGAATGTGTCATGATGACCCTCAGCAAATTCTTGCCAAAACCTGAAACACTGCAATCAGCCTGACTACCCGGCATCACTTACTGGGGCTTCCTGAAAACCCAGCTTCTCCATAATGCTGCTTCCATTGAGAAAAATTCAGTCCCTCAGACATACAACTTAATCCCACACTCTCCCAGTGAACTCCACAAGGACGTCCAGCTGCCTGGCACCTTGCTGCACCTGCAATTCTGCTGGAGTTATACTGGCAACACTTCAGTTGGCCTGTTAGCCAGAGCCCCCCAAAGGCCAAATTTTCATGTCTTCACGTGGCAGCTACTTCTTCAAAGGAGGACCTGAAAACATCCTTCAGAGTCTTTGAAAAACATGGTCCAACATTCTCTCTTGAGTGAAGACTGGTGCAAAGGACGTATGCTCTTCCCAGCAATCCTTCCGATTTCCAAGGTGGCTTCTCTGGTTCACCGTTTCCAACACGGGCATTGTCTTTAAGTACATACTCCGGAGCCACCAGCAGCTGAAAGTTGGCTTATTAGCAGAGGAGGAGCATAAAGGTCCACAGAGAACTGAAAAATGAAGTCCACTGGAAAAAAACTGTTTTGCCTAATGGCAGAAAGCAGAACTACTAATCAAGGCAGCATTTGGACACCAAAAGGAATCTGAATGCGGGCATGCCAAAAGGGCAAAAAACATTCTCAGAGACCACCAGTTTCATTTACTGAGCAACTCACCAGGGAGCATCCAAACATCATTCTTATTTCCATGGCCCCATATGCCACTCCACCCATTTACCATTGTCCAAAAGCAGGGTCCCCAGTGTGATAACTGTGGGCACCATGGTGCCCACTAACACCTTTCCTGGGGCCCACCAAGTCTTAGAATCATAGAGTTGGAAGGGACCTCTGGGGTCATCTAGTCCAACCCCCTGCACAAGGCAGGAAATCCAAAAATACCTCCCCCTCCATGCCTGCAGTGACCACCGTTCCACGCCCAGATGACAAAAACCTCCAGGATCCCTGCCTAAACTGGCCTGCAGAAAAACTGCTTCCTGACCCCAAAGTGGCAATCAGCATTTCCATGGGTGTGTCTTTCTGGACAGTGGGCCTGGCCAGATAGGGCTTTTTGTCTAGCAGGGCTAATGACGGGCTGTGCAGGGTTTTTTTTTTAAAAAGTTGCTTCAAGCAGCAGTTGCCACCAAAATACAAGGGTCTTTACTGTGTGACTGAAGGTCGGCTATATATATACAAGGTAATATATTTAAAGAATGTGTTGTTTTTTTAAAATGCTGCTAAACCGCGCTTCTGCCTGACATATGTAAGAGTTACCATGAGATTTACACGTAACCTCACTCCTTCACATTCTGCGGCTGGACCCGCCTTTTGCAACAGCCATTGTGTAGTTGTGAGCACTGCAAAGGTGATCGCAAGCTAAGAAATGTTGGAGACTGCTGTCCAAAAGGCA